GTCACACAGCTTAAATGTCGTGATCTAAGCGTGGCTTCTTCCACTCCAGCGCTGTCCTCCAGACAGGCTCGTCCCTTCACCTGATGAAGGCCGCTTGTGTTGTGGCCGAAACGTCGTGATTTTTTGTTATTTTATTTTCACCTACGTGACTTTACCCAATATGCTCCTTCCCAAGGCGATTCCGGTGGCGTGATGTTAACTTCCTCGCTTGGTATGCAGGAGATCGGGGATTCGACCCTGACTGACGCCTGTATATTTGGAGTTTCCATGTTCTCCCCGTGGTCGCGTGGATTTTTGTCCAGGTTCTCCGGATTTTCCCTCCACATTTAAAATCGTGCGTTTAGATTAATTGGATTATTTGACTGCCTTAGATTTCCACAGCCACTTCATTGAACTATTAATTGTGGCCAAGTCGCTTCTGAAAAATAATCTAATAGCTCAGTGGGCTTTAGGTTGAGCTGGTCTTGGGTTGAAGTGGTCTTGGGTTGAGCTGGTTTTAGGCTGAAGTGGTTTTAGGTTGAAGTGGTTTTAGGTTGAGCTGGTCTTGGGTTGAGCTGGTCTTGGGTTGAGGTGGTCTTGGGTTGAAGTGGTCTTGGGTTGAGGTGGTCTTGGGTTGAAGTGGTCTTGGGTTGAGGTGGTCTTGGGTTGAAGTGGTCTTGGGTTGAGCTGGTCTTGGCTTGAGCTGGTTTTAGGTTGAGCTGGTTTTAGGTTGAGCTGGTCTTGGGTTGAGCTGGTCTTGGGTTGAGGTGGTCTTGGGTTGAGCTGGTTTTAGGTTGAGGTGGTCTTGGGTTGAGCTGGTCTTGGGTTGAGGTGGTCTTGGGTTGAGCTGGTTTTAGGTTGAGCTGGTTTTAGGTTGAGCTGGTTTTAGGTTGAGGTGGTCTTGGGTTGAAGTGGTCTTGGGTTGAGGTGGTCTTGGGTTGAAGTGGTCTTGGGTTGAGCTGGTCTTGGCTTGAGCTGGTTTTAGGTTGAGCTGGTTTTAGGTTGAGGTGGTCTTGGGTTGAGCTGGTCTTGGGTTGAGCTGGTTTTAGGTTGAGGTGGTCTTGGGTTGAGCTGGTCTTGGGTTGAGGTGGTCTTGGGTTGAGCTGGTTTTAGGTTGAGGTGGTCTTGGCTTGAGCTGGTTTTAGGTTGAGCTGGTTTTAGGTTGAGCTGGTCTTGGCTTGAGCTGGTCTTAGGTTGAGCTGGTTTTAGGTTGAGCTGGTTTTAGGTTGAGGTGGTTTTAGGTGGAGGTGGTCTTGGGTTGAGCTGGTCTTAGGTTGAGCTGGTCTTGGGTTGAGCTGGTCTTGGGTTGAAGTGGCCTTGGGTTGAGCTGGTTTTAAGTTGAGCTGGTCTTGGGTTGAGCTGGTTTTAGGCTGAAGTGGTTTTAGGTTGAAGTGGTTTTAGGTTGAGGTGGTCTTGGGTTGAGCTGGTCTTGGGTTGAGCTGGTCTTGGGTTGAGCTGGTATAAGGTTGAGCTGGTTTTAAGTTGAGCTGGTTTTAGGTTGAGGTGGTCTTGGGTTGAGCTGGTCTTGGGTTGAGCTGGTCTTGGGTTGAGCTGGTATAAGGTTGAGCTGGTCTTGGGTTGAGCTGGTATAAGGTTGAGCTGGTTTTAGGTTGAGCTGGTTTTAGGTAGAGCTGGTTTTAGGTTGAGCTGGTTTTAGGTTGAGGTGGTCTGGGGTTGAGCTGGTTTTAGGTAGAGCTGGTTTTAGGTTGAGCTGGTTTTAGGTTGAGCTGGTCTTGGGTTAAGCTGGTCTTGGGTTGAGCTGGTCTTGGGTTGAGCTGGTCTTGGGTTGAGCTGGTCTTGGGTTGAGGTGGTCTTGGGTTGAGCTGGTTTTGGGTTGAGCTGGTCTTGGCTTGAGGTGGTCTTGGGTTGAGCTGGTTTTAGGTTGAGCTGGTCTTGGGTTGAGGTGGTCTTGGGTTGAGCTGGTTTTGGGTTTAGGCGGTCTTAAGTTGAGCTGGTTTTTAGGTTATGCTCGCAGCTGAGGAAGTTGAGAGTGCAGCCTTGAAGAAGGCAGCAGTGTCAGGAATTAAGGGAACCACTTCCCAGCACGCGGGACTCCACCGTTCAAGTTTAACGAGGTGAGAACCCAAGAAAGATTGACCTGAGCGCATTCGTTTCCCAGGCAATCATCGCCCATTACCAGCAGAGGGCGATGATAGCTGTATCGCCACGAAGCGGCACATACAGAAGAGGAAACTCAACACGTTTGTCAATAACGCCGGGGACTTGAAAGGACAAATATAGGGGGAACGTTCTGGGCACTGACCTTCCTTCAAAAACTCACATTCTTCATCGCACATGTAGCAATAAAGAATGTTGTTGATGTATTTATTATTTCTACTGACGATAGCAGACCTTGGCATTGAGCTGCTGACTATATTCTTTGGGTCTTTCGGTAAAGTCACGTAAATAGTAAATTGATAAAATAAAATAACACAATAATATTCTCACGACGTTTCGGCCACAACACAAGTGGCACTGTCCTACCAGACAGTCTCGTCCCTTCACGACGAGACTGTCTGGTATAAACGTCGTGAGAATATTAGTGTTATGTTATTTTATCAATTTATTATTTTATTCTCATTCTACGTGACTTTACCGAAAGAACCAAAGAAGATGAATCCTTGCAGTCACGAAAGCTTTAAATCGAAATTTCACGTAAATAGGTTCAAAGAAAATACAAATATATTGATGCCACGATGCGCAAGACCAAAACAACATCCATAGAGGGAATCACATTGCGACGGCGTGAGAAGCGTGAGAGGCGAGGCGTGAGGGGCGAGAGAGTCGGAGAGGCGCGCGAGAATTCCTCCCGGAGCCCGGGACGCGTTGCGGAGCGCAGTCCCCGTGCTGGAAGCTCCCCGCGCCACGCAACGCGGAGCCCCTGCGGCCACGAGAGGACGCGATTCTGCGAGGCGGCAGCTGGCGCCTCGCAAGATTGGAATTGCGGTGCAATTAATTATTTTGTGAATGTATTTTTTACGCGATTTCAAGATGATCCGCAGAAATATTTGCACGTTCATTTTATAGAGGCAGTTCGTAGGAGGTTTCTGTGAGTTTATGGATCTCTGTTAATATATGGATCTGCATGTGATATTTGTCTCTGGATTTATATGGATAATTTATTTAGTTCCATTTATTGGGTAGAGCCCTGTGAGCCATTCGGCTCTTGAATCGGGTGCAACCGCAAAACAACAAAAACATGAACAAGAAAACATCTTAAAGTAACTATGTGACTGTGCAAACAGAAAATCCAGGAAAAAACATCAAAATATTCCTGAAATAGCACCGTACACCAACGTTGTGTGCAAAAATCCCAGTGGGATGCAAGCCAAACAACAACAACAACCACAAGACAACTAAGATAAAGGCCATCAGTCTAACTCCGTACTACAATAAACAAAAACATGGCCAAACCAAAAAACTTTTCGAAATCACCAAAATAAAGCCACAAATGCAAAGTAATAGTGATCATAGGGACTGTGACCGAATTTTTTTTTACAATAAACTACATAAATAACATGTAACACCAAACCCTAGAGCCATAGTTGGCTGCATGAGTCACTCCACAACAACAGAAGCATCAGTCGGAGTATCACATTTTTATATGCACCTTTAAGATCAGCACACTAAATCAAAATACAGATAACACTTTGCAGCGGTCATCCAGAGCGAAACATTTTATTTTAGGCCACTGACTAGCAGTGGCAGCTAGGGGTGTACAACTCCTCTAGAGCAGTTTTGATTGAAGATCTCATAGGTAGTGATTCAAGTTGCAGTTTATTGGCAATAGCATTCCAGACCCTGGGGGCATCAATAGCAAAGGCCCTTCCTCCGGTTTTTGTACGGCAATAGGGAATGTGAAGCTGGTAAATGAGCGAAGACCTGAGGTCAAATTTGTTATTTGAAACAGAGATCCAGCAGGTAGTCTGTGGATTTTTTTGTAAGTTCATCGTGAATAAATAAGATCTGGTGCACAAACCGTCGAACATTAAGAGATGTTAAGGTTGACCCAATGTGGAGATCACAGTGGTGAGTCCTATATGGGCAGTTCAATGCAAATCTTAAGACCGAGTGATAGATGGAATCAAGCTTCTTCAGTACAGTACTTGGGGCTGATTTATACACGATATCACAGTAATCAAGTAGAGGCAGTATGGTAGCTTTTATCAATTCCAAACGGAACATATGGGGATAAACAGTGCTTGTGTCGATACAGAAAACCTATTTTTGTTTTTGTCTTTTTACCAATATAATCAATGTGATCTTCAAAATTCAGTTTTGAATTCAGGATGACCCCAATATACTTATAGATCTTGACTTGCTCTATTTGATAATTATTTACGGAATGTAATTGGGGAAAAATAACTTCCTGCTTTAGTCCCGGTGAGAAGCATAGCACCTTGGTTTTGGAGGTATTCAGGACTAGTTTAAGAGCAACTAGCTGATGTTGTAGTTTGTTGAAATCACCCTGGAGCTTAGCAATCACGTCATCCGGAGAGCGGCCAGCAGTAATCAGTATCGTGTCATCTGCAAAAAGATTTATCCTGGAATGATCCAGGTCAGTGCCCAAGTCATTGACATAAAGAGAGAACGTGCCAATTCGTCACTAGTACAGCACACCGGTGTGTTGGAGAGCCAAGCCACAACATTTACAATCTGAGTACGACGTTTCGCCAGTGATTACAACTAACTTCATCAGGCAACAGCCAGATTTCTCTACAAATCTGGCTGTCGCCTGATGAAGCTAGGTGGACTTCTCCACAACAAATCGTTTAATTGAACAGTGATCAGTATATCGCTCACCACAAAACGTTAGTCGTGAGCGGGGATTGAACTAAGGTTCAATAGTGGACGAGCGCAGTGCGTTCGTCACTGCGCCACCGCTCGCCTCCTACCCCACCTCCCTTAGCAACATGGCCGCCCTTGTACCAGCAGCACGCGGGTGACGTCGCCACCGCAGTGCAATCCGCCTATGGCCGTCAGCAAGCGCGTGTCGACCAATCGCGTGGCGGTATGGCGGTGACATCACGTGGGGGGGGGGCCGGGGGGTGCGACGCCTGCAAGGGGAGTGACGCGGGTTCGAATCCAGCGCTTGGAATAAATAAAATAAAACATTTTTTTTACGAATTCAAAGCACAAATTCATTATTTGATCCATAACCACAACAGCGGAAAACGTACGGCATTCGTCAACACCGCCGGCTATTGCGACGTTCGCGTGAGGCGAGCGCTCGTCCGACCGCCAAGGTGGGCTGGGTCCTTATTGTCGCGATGCACGCCGCGCCTGCCTTTCGCGATGCGGCGAATGTATGGGGGGCGGCTTGGTTGAAATGCAATAGTTTATACCGTGTGTAACCTACACGTCTTCTACATTATACATTCACGCAATTGCGGTGAATTCTTTGCCGCCGCAGCGAATGAATCGTAACGGGGTGTTGTCACGGTGCCGCTGTCTGTCCGTGTCTATAATGATGCTAACGATGAGGCAAGGCAGGCAGGCAGGCCTACTTGTCTGTGCGTGCGACCTTAGAATTATTGAGGGGATTTCACTGCCTGCGCGAATGGGGCTTCCTCAGATGTCGAATTATCTAATTCATTAATGACCCAGAGTACAGTACGGGATTCTATACAGCCCTTTGTCCAAGTAAAGCCATTGGCGGGTAAATGTGTAATCTGTCCAGACGATGCGTCGTCCATCGGGGTTGTATCGACCATACTTCACCCTGGTTCAATTCGGGGTTAAGGGAAAAGGCCCAGGGCCGGTTGAGGTAATTGCCACTGATGTTCGCTTTCTCCGTGGTCTGGGAATACAACTCAGGTCGCCGACTTTGCAGAGCTGCTGTGTGTTGGTTCAAGCTCGCCGCAGACTCGCCGGTCTCCTCATTGTGTTGCGGTTTTTTTTTTGAAAGCCGCTGACGCAGATTTTGAACGACTTACAGAAATGTCGGGAGATGCCCGGTGACGGCGGCTGCGTTTGTTTCTGCTGAGAATTCCAAACGTTTCTTACGCCGCTTCTACATACAGTATTTAATTTCCACAGCTATCTAACAATGTACTGTATGTGCAACTTGAGATTTCTCATAAGGCTTTCACAACGTTTCTCGTGCCCTATTACGTTTACATTCCTTAAATTACATTTGCTATTTACTGTTTCTAAAGGACCTTTGGTAAACATGCGATTTCGTGTTGGGCTTCCGCAGATTTATCTCGCTTTGAATGATACACGACATGGTTCTAACGTAGATTACCAATGGCTATTCCTCAGACGTCTATAGAGGCCTTCCGTAGACATTTGGCGTCTCCCTTGGGGTCTTCCGCAGATTTTTCTCTCATTGAACGACAACAAATGGAAGAGCGTTGCACTACGGTACACTACGTCAGGTATAACAAAGGTAACCACGGACGCTATGCAGTCTTGACATTGTGTTCCATTCCAACTGCGAGGTCTTGATGCGTTGCCATTCATTGTGACATACAGTAGCACATCAGTGCTCGCCCCTTTGGGGTTTCCGGCCCCTGTCATGGAAATGTGGAATTTCCGTCATCTCCAGCTCCATCAAAAGAGGCGAGCATTGCCAAATGTTTGGTTTCAGACAGGGAGGCGCGTTGACTATTAGCAGCACATAGAGGTTGCTGGGTTGCACCTCCCGATTAGCACGGTTGCCTGTGCGAAAGTATTTCCTTGGTTCTTTCGGTAAAGGCACCACGTAGAAGGGAAACAATAAAATAATAAAAATATAAAACAATAAAATGCTCACGACGTTTCGACTGCAACACAAGCAATCATCATCAGTTGTGAAAACCACAGCAAGAAAATTGGAAAAAAGTGGCGTTTTTTTTACTTTAGCACCACGGAGAGAGCGATTTGGCAGTTATTCAGATGGACGAGTCCATCTATTTTGATTTAAAGCTTTCGTGACTGCAGTAATTCATATTCTTAGTTCTTTCGGTAAAGTCACGTTGAAGGGAAACAATAAAAGAATAATATATAAAACAATAAAACTTCTCACGACGTTTCGACCATGACACAAACGGTCGTCATCAGGTGTGTCGGTTTGCATTAATTTATTGATGACGACCGTTTGTGTTATGGTCGAAACGTCGTGAGAATTTTTATTGTTTTATATATTTTATTATTTTATTGTTTCCCTTCAACGTGACTTTACCGAAAGAACTAAGAATATGAGTCCATCTATGTTCGGAAAAGAGGAGGGGGGAGACGAAAATAATGGATGCGGTCTGAAAGCCACCGTAAGCGTGAACAATCCATTTAGACCCGAAATGGTTTATTAAATCCTTCCAATGATTGCTAAGCCAGAATCCATCTTATCTGTTGAAATTGTCTCTGTGTTTGTATATGTCAATCATTGGAAGGAATTGATCAACCATTTCGGGTCTTAATTGATTGTTTACGCTTACGGTGCCTTTCAGACCGCATCCATTATTTTCGTCCCCCTCCCTCCTCTTTTCCGAACATAGATGGACTCGTCCATCTGAATAACTGCCAAATCGCTCTCCGTGGTGCTAACGTTAAAAATAACCGCCACTTTTTAAAAAAATTCTTGCTGTGGTTTTCACACCTGATGATGATTGCTTGTGTTGCAGTCTAAACGTCGTGAGAATTGTATTGTTTAATATTTTTATTATTTTATTGTTTCCCTTCTACGTGACTTTACCGAAAGAACCAAGAATATGAATCCCTGTAGTCACGAAAGCTTTAAATCTAAATTTGTGCAAAAGTAGTTCAACATACGTACGTACAGAGAAGGATAATGCCTTCTACCAAGCCAGCAGTGCTGAGAATCCTTGGTTTAAATGCAGGTTTCATTCACCGATGGTTAAATGTGCTTTTTAAGTGTGGCGAGTTGATGGCCTGTGCCTGGGTCACCGTTGAACTGCATAAGAAAACCAGAGAATACAAATTTGGTATTGTAAATTTGGCTGAATTCCATCTCGGATAATTAAGCGGTTCGATTTGAGTTTAATGCCTAAAACTATTTTATTCAGTGCATACAAAAGGTGTGCCCCGAGTGAGAATAGAGCCGTTTTTTATGGTTGGAAATAGTTCTGACAGCATTATCTGGCGCTATCTTCTGACACAAGGTGGTGCACTGCTTTCCGTTAGAGTTAAAACGAGGGGAAACTTGATCTCATGCCGATGACACAATTGGAATATATTTTTTAAAGTATTAACAGCCCGTGAACACAAATTATGCAGACATAGACTTTTTAGGCAGGTGAAAGTCCACTGATACTCAACTTTGGTTGCAATATTTGCAGTAAATATAATAAGCAGCATCGACTCATAGGTGTGAATATGCATGCAGTGCAATTGCCGAAACTTAGTCACTTATGAATAAACACGTCAAAGTGACTTTTGTCATGCAAGGGAAAGGTTTCCACATTGCTGTGTTCCTCTGTCCATCGGTAGAGCGGACGGGAGGGTGTTTCGTAAACTACTTTCATCAACAGGATAATTGGGATCCGCGTCTTTTTGTAAGTGTAGTTTGTAAATTGACATTAAATAAAGTGATTTTTTTCTCGAAGAAATCATCACGCGATCCTATCTGGGTGAGAGCTGCATTTGTTTGAACATGTCTCGTTTTTTGCGGTGCAGTGTATTTTCATTGTTGTGCTTGTGTTGCTGTTAGGGAAAGATTTCACCGGAGTTTAATATTGCAAAACAAAATCTGCTAGTTTCTTCATTCAGACCGAAGGAAGCATTCCTCATTCAGTGTTTATGAAGAGAAAAACGTTAATTTGTTGTATGTCTTAAATGTGTTGTACTATGATGTGCAATGTAATTTCTTGTAATAGTTAAATTCGGTTAAATAGACGCATTCTCATACAAGGGTTCTTATTCCAATCTACTTATCCTGTGAATTTTGAAAGTCACCTTACCCCAGTGAGAACGCATTGTTCAGTAATAAACACATTTTGTGGGAGTAGAATAATTCAAACACACACCGATCATTTTAAAAACATTCACAGTGACGTAGAGACGACTGTCTAAACATGGGCGCTAATCCACACACAGGCTGATTTTATATCCTTCACTGTTAGTCCGCCATAACCAGAACTCATCTTATTGCCAATCGTACCACAGAGGAGGGAGGTTTTGTTCCAAGCAGGTTAAATTAGACTCTCTGGTCGATAACGTCAGAAGTCACGTCTGTCTCGCTTTCAGCCATGGCCTGGGTAATCAGGAAATGGGCGTAGCAGCCGTGGGTGTCAGGAGTGCGCCTCATCTGGGCGACAGAGAGGTGGGAGGAGATTGAGTGAATAATTAGTTGGAGACACCATGGGACCCTGATACAAAATATATTTTACGACTTGTTTCCAAATGAGGTCTTTAATTTGCATGTGAACAGTTACCCTTTATAATACATCTCGTTATTTATATTCATGGTAACTGTAAGTTATCCATTAGAATATATTATAATACTTTTTTATATATTCTCATGGGTAACTGAAAAATCCTTTAAAAGTAAAAAACTCATTTCTATTACAAGTGAAAGTAAGAGTGAAGTTTGGGGCGGTGACATGGCTCAGTGGTAGCCGCTTGTTGTTGAGGTTAATGGCTTGAACCAAGCGGATTTATTAATCATACAATAATGCGGCAGCTGCTTCATTGTGGGAATTAAATATCCTATTACGGCGTTTGTAAGAATAAGCCATTGTGTGCTGGCATCATGGTCCAAATTTCAAAAATTACTATTGGAATATATGTAGCAATCATTGCCCCCAATTACAAAACCTTGGCAGGACGCTCTTGAAAACGAGTCATGGGACATAGTGAAGTTTTTTCTGGGTAAAAAAGTGGAGTAATGATGAAAAAACTCCAAAGACACATTGCATCCCTGGTAATCATATTGAAGAGAGACCCATGATGTGCAGCGTTCCATCCTTGGGTTCTTGATACTCCCTTATTGAGCTGGAAACTCCAAATGGAGAAATTGACCTCACATTGCAGGCACTTCCCTTCTTAAAGGTAACGCATTGAAAGGTAAGTGCAACAGTCATTTAGTTACCCTTGAAGTGCTCACCGAGTCTACGATCTCTTTGTCAGCAGAGTTGCCTGGAATGTTTGACCAGTTCCTTGTAGCAGGCAGCTGAAGTAGCTGAAGCAAATCCATGGGTACCAGGGTCAAGTGAAAGTCAGGGTGTCTCCCTGCTCAATCAATGAGGCAATTTTCTCTCATGGTAGTTCTGAGCCAGTGGTGGAAATTCCACAGTCCTATGGCAGA